TTCGTTAAGGATCAGTGCTCAAGGGACGGGGGTCAACACAAACGGGGTTCAGCCAGAGCGCTGGAGCTTGCAGGATCCTGCAGCGCCAGGGTCGCATTGACCCTGGCTTGGGTGCAGGATCCTGCGGGATCTTGCAGGATCCTTCGCGTTGACCCGGGTTTGGGTGCATGATCTTGCAGGGTCTTGCAGGTTCCTGCAAGGCCCGACTGACCCGGGTCTGGATTGACCCAGGCCAGAAGATCCCCGAAAGGAACGTGCCCACGATTGGCCCTCCACTGGCTTCCGGACCCTGGATTCCTTATCGAAGGCTTCTTTACCCAAAAATGAGCTGCTAGTAAAAATAAAGAAGACCGGCCTATCTAAGCTGCTAAGCTTATCCAAACATAAGCTGCTAAGACTGGCTTATCTAAGCTGTCTACCATATTTTTAAAAATCTATTCCTTCTCCACTGCCCTCGCCGCGTCAGACGAGCCGCCACGTGGGTGCGGCGCCCTCTCTCCGGCCGATGCGCCCCCGAGGGAGTGGGCTCCGGCCCGCTCCTCGCCGCCCGCCTCGGCGGGAGGGGGCGCGGCGGCCTCCGCCCCCGCGCGGGGCCGCCGGCGGGGGGGCCCGCTGCGGCGGGGGGGCAGGGCCGCCCTCGCCGGGAGGGGCCTCCTGCACGGGCGGGCAGGCCCCGAGGGCACGGACGTGGAAGGAGATGTTCACCACCCACCAAGTATTGCCACCGCCCGATGCTGGTCGCCAGGCTCAGCTATGGCCATCGCCCTGCCCGTGGGCCCCACTCAGTGCTGCTCGCACAGAACATGGGGGCCTCCCACGTCGGCGTTGAGGGCAGGCTTGCTGGTCGCGGCGTCGCTACAGTCGGGGCCCTGAAGAAGGAACCCTTTTCGTTGGGGAGGGGCTCCGCGTTCCTTCGGTGTTTCGCAGCTTGCCTCAGGTTTTCCTTGTGTCTTCGATCGGAAACCGACGTTTAACTTATGGAAAGGGGCCTCGTTCCTTATTTAGGGTTCCTTAGGTCAACGCCTCGACTGTAGATGTCCACCACGCACCAAACCACCCCAGCCCAACCCGAAGGCCTCCATGTGCTCTCCGTTTCCCGTGGGGGGGCGGGTCGGGGAACCTTGAAAGCACACACATCTGAAGCCCATACCCCCCCCCTCCACCCGAAATTCGGGTCTTCGGGTTGGGTTGGGGTGGTCTGGCAGGTAGTCAGATGTGCGTTCACAGGGGGCGGGGGCCCAACCCCGTCTGATGCGGATTCCACCGCACACGCAGACACAACAGAGATGTTGCCGGGAGATGCAGTCGCCGTTGCCATCGTCGATGAGGATGTCTCCGCACATGAGGAAGGTCGTGCGCGCGATGGCGGATGCTCCCCGCAGGCGTTCCGCACAATCAGGGGCACGTCATGCAAGACGCCCGCCCCGCGGTCTTCAGGCTGAGTGCTCGGCTGCTCTCGCACCGGAACGGGCTGGGAGGCCTCCAGGGAGGCGCCCTGGATTTCCTCAGGGAGTGTCCGTCTGCGTTTCTCTCGAGCTGCTTGCTTCCTGCGATCCGTCGTGCTGCTGTGGCCCGCCTTGGATCTCGGCCTTGCAGGGCATGGAAGCTCACGTGGCAGGTCCAGGGCAGGGTGCCACCAAGGTGCTGCTGATCCTGCTGCAACCTCGATTCCACAATGCGTGCCCCATGGTACATCGTGAACCCGTTTCACTGCATATCCTTTCTTGCCCACCGCAATCTCGATAGTAGGGCCTTTTCCCTGGTCGCACGTGGCCGAGCCAGGGGCCGTAAGCATAACTAGTGTCATGCTATGCCTCGGGGTAGCCAGAACCGATGAGCCGCTGGGTCACCATGCTCCAGCCTCCAATCACCATCCAAGGGCCAGCCAACAGGTCAAGGAAGGCCGTGAGCGTCACCAGACGCTTGTGCACGGGGCCCCGTATCCACGCACATGACTCAACAGAGAACGCGATGACGACAAGGTCACTTGACTTACGACGCCAAGTGAGCGGTGCAAACCCATGACAGGGGTCCACCCCATATTGCGAAGGCCTTAACGGCCGGTGCCGCCGACCATGAAGAAGACGACCCTGACCACTACGACGTAGAGAATGAGGAGGAGACGCACGAGGGGGGGCGGAAGACGAAGCCGAGGAGGTGGAGGAGGTGAAGAAAAATAACGAGGAGGGGGAGCAGCAGGAGGGGGACGGCGATGATGTGGAAGTGCACGGGTACGTGGAGGCCGAGGCTTGAAGGGAGGATTGGAGCGGGGGCTGAGCACCAGCGGGGATTGACAGGGGTCCACTCCATACTCAGCCATGTTCTGGCTCCTCATGCCGTCCAACGTTGTGGTGGCCAATCGGCTTCATGGCTAGGGCCATCCCTCCTCCGGCGGTCGCGACCCCGGCAGAGCTGCCCGTCGAGAGGGCGAGGGCATCGCTTCGCGAGGAGTTCCAGTCGTGTGTCGAGCTCTCGAGAGACCTTATCCAGAGCTTTCTGTCAGGAAATACGCGCTTCAAGTATATCCACCGCCCGATGCTGGTCGCCAGGCTCAGCTATGGCCATCGCCCTGCCCGTGGGCCCTACTCGGGAGTGCGCGCACAGAAAAGGGGGGCCTCCCACGTCGGCGTTGAGGGCAGGCTTGCTGGTCGCGGCGTCGCTACAGTCGGGGCCCTGAAGAAGGAATCCTTTTCGTTGGGGAGGGGCTCCGTGTTCCTTGATAGTTTCGCAGCTTGCCTCAGGTTTTCCTTATGTTTTCGATGGGAAGTCGAAGTTTAACTAATGGAAAAAAAGGGCCTCGGTCCTTCTTTAGGGTTCCTTAGGTCAACGCCCCGACTGTACTCCCGTCCAGGAGCAGCAGCAGGGGCACAAGCAGGTCCAGCAGCGTTGCTGGGAGCCGCCCTGGGAGGCGGGTCTGCAGACGAGGCTCCACTGGCTGGTGGTGGCTGCTGGCGGTTCGGGGCGGCTCCCGCCGCGCCGTCGATGGCATCGGCCGCCCACTGCCCGAGTCTCGATCGGGGTCCGCCGGAAGGGCCTTGAGCTCCGCAGGCCCTGGGTGTGCCGGTTGCGGCGGGGGCCCCCCGCTGGCCGCAGCTGCCGCCTGCGGAGCCCGGGCGTGCCGCAGAGGACGCCACTGCTGCCGCCGTTGGCCGCGGCGCCGCTTCGCAGCCCTCCCCTCGTCGAGCTGCTTGCTGTTCGCAGTGAGGTCTTGCGGCTTCTGGGCAGCCGCCTCCCGCTGGAGCTGCGCGCCCTCCCACTCCGCGTTGTCGGCGAGGAAGGTTACAGTCGGGGCCCTGAAGAAGGAACGCTTTTCGTTGGGGAGGGGCTCCGTGTTCCTTGATTGTTGTACAGTTTGCCTCGGGTTTCCCTTAGGGCTTCGATACGAAATCGAAGTTCAACTTATGGAACATAGGGGCCTCGGTCCTTATTTAGGGTTCCTTAGGTCAACGCCCCGACTGTATTTCTCTCCGCTTCGTCCATCTCGTCTGGGTCCGCAGACTTGAAGATGGCGTAGCCAATGAGGACCACGTCGGGGCCAAGCTCACGGGTGCCGTTGCTGGCCTGCTCGGCATGCGGCGCCTTGGGCGCTGTCCGGCACTCGCCCTCCGCAATCGCCGGATCGGTGACCTCACGAAGATGAGCTTGCTGTGGCGCCGCAAGTTCGGGACGGTTCCGTAGCGCAGCCGTGGCCGCCCTTTGAGACGCTTGCTCCGCCTTGCGTAGAATATCCGTTCGCTCGATGGATTGGTGTTCGTGCGACCCCAGGTCTTCCGCAAGCTGGCCCAGTGGCCACCCGTGCAGTAGCCTTCATTCGGAATGGACTCGCTGCTGTAGACCCACTTGCTGCATCCATCGCACCTGATCCATGGCTTTCCATACTTGATCACTGTCCTCCCCGACCGAGCGGTGCACAGGAACTCCTGGGGCGAACCATGGTTCAAACGAAACGTCGAACTGAACAGTCTTGGCACTGGCCTCGGGCTAGAGGCCCCCATTGGTTCCACTGGCGAACAAAGAATTTTGAGGCAACAAGGCTACGGAGGAGGAGGAGGAGGGGGAGAAGGGAGAGGAGGAGGAGGAAGAGGAGGAGGAAGAGGAGGAGGAAGAGGAGGAGGAAGAGGAGGAGGAAGAGCAGGAGGAGGATGAGGTGGAGGAGGTGGTTGACGCGACGGGCCTGCGTTCTGTGTTTCTGTTTGGCAGAAGGCAGGGAGCAGGACGAGGCGGAGGAGGAGGAGGAGGAGGAGGTAGGAGGAGGAGGAGGGGGGGGAGGACGAGGATCAGAAGGACGAGGGCGAGGACGAGGTGAGAAGGCAGGAGTATGATGACCCGTGAATGGGGGATGCGGAGGGGCGGGAGGCGGATCACGGTGAGGGGGAGGTGGAGGGGACGGGTGATGATGAGAAGTTAGATGAGAGACAATGATGATGATGAGGATAATGAAGAGGAGATGATGACGATGCTGATGTGGTGATGTGGTGGTGGTGATGTTGATGGTGATGATAATCGTGATGATGGTGAGGAGGAGATGATGCTGGTGATGATGGTGGTGATGATGATGCTGATGCTGATGTTGACGATGATGATGGTGGTGGTGATGATGATGACGATGCTGATGATTATGATGCTGATGCTGATGCTGCTGATGGTGGTGATGATGCTGATGATGATGATGATGCTGATGCTGATGCTGATGCCGGTGCTGCTGATGATGATGCTGATGCTGATGCTGATGATGATGATGATGATGGTGGTGATGGTGATGGTGATGGTGATGGTGATGGTGATGGTGATGGTGATGGTGATGGTGATGGTGGTGGTGGTGATGATCATGGTGAGGCGGAGGAGGAGGAGGAAGGACACGGAGCATGAGAAGCAGGAGGAGAAAGAAGAGGAGGGAGGGAGGGAGGGAGGGAAGACGAGGAGCACCACCTGCAGCGACGGCGGCGGCGGCGGCGGCCGAGGCGGGCTGCGGCGGGGACGCCGCGCGCGGCCGCCCGCAGGGGCCTCCTGGAGGCCGGGCTGGGGGAGTCGAGCCCGACGGGCGGCGCCTCCCCGGTGAAGGCGGCAGGGCCGCCGAGGGACCTGATGGACGCGCTGGGTCGTGGGGGCGGTCGCGGTCGCCGGCTGCCGTCGTGAGGGGAGGAGGAGGGAGGAGGGAGGATAAAACGACGCGAAGATCGGGACAAAATCGGATCGGGAGAACTCGAAATCTCTGAGAATCGGCGGGTTTGGAGGATGTATCGGGCGCCGCGGCCGCTCCAGAGCGTTCCGGAACGCTCTGAGAGCGCTCCGGAACGCTCTGGAGCGATTTATCCCGATCCTAGCCCTGTTTGAAGGGAGGAGGGGGGAGAGAGAGGAGTGAGGAGAAGAGTCGAGGAAGCAGCAGCGGCATTGAATCTAAACGTTTGGCGCTCCGCGCGGATTTCTTGGATCTGCACTGGAGCGCCCTGGCGGCGCCTCCGGCGCCGCCCCTGGCGCGCTCCGCGCTCCAGGGAGGGGGGATGACAACCCAGACCCTTTCGCGCTGTGAAAAAGGTTTTTCGCTATTTTCGGCGTCCAGGGCCCCTTCCTGGGCCTCGGGACCGTCAAAAAAGGACTCGGGATGAAACGCCGGTCCCAGGGAAGAGGTCCAGACCTCTTCGAGTGGACGCTGCGAAAACATCACGACGTCGGGGGTCTGGGAAATGAGGAGGAGCGAGGAGAGGGGAGAGAGGAGAAGAGAGGAGAGGGGAGAGGGAGGGAGGTCATTGCTCATGCTAAGGGATAGCTGGGCGCGCTCGCGCCATGTCTGTGGCATCCTGCCCCTCCCATGCCCCTTCCCGCCTCAGTTGGCTTCGGTTCTCTCTCCGCCGACGCGTCGCGTGGCGGACCTGGGATTTCCCCCAAAACGACCCCCTCGTATTTTCTGCGCAATCGGAGAAATGGAGCTGCGTACACTGGAGGTGGCGGATGAGCAGGAGCATGAGCAGGTGGGAGAGGAGGAGGAGGAGGAGGAGGAGGAGGAGAACGAGGAGGAGGAGGAGAAGGAGGAGGAGGAGGAGGAGGAGGAGGAGGAGGAGGAGGAGGTAGGAGGAGTTCGAGGACGAAGAGCAGCAGCTGAACCAGGAGTGGAAGGAGCAGGAGGAGCAGGAGGGACCAAGGGAGGGCGGAGAAGGCGGAGGAGGGGGGCGACAACGCCGAGGAAGGTGTCATTCTGAGCCTGCGGCCTGCGCTGCGGCAAGAGTGCCGTTCTGAACGACGGGGGCAAAGTGCAGATTCCATCATGAGGCCCACGCTGCAGCAGCAGCAGCAGCAGCAGCAGCAGCAGCAGCAGCACCATTCCAAGACACCGGAAACGCTCCGACGGAAGCATCAAAGACGATACCAACTCATGGCATCCTGTGTGTAAGACAGCAGTCGGCGGAGGGAGCGGGACACTCCCTGGCCACATTCGGGGGAGAGACGAGAGTAAGATTCATGTTGATTGCTTGTACAAAGGGGGGAGGAGGAGGAGGAGCAGCAGGAGGAGGAGGAGGAGGAGGAGGAGGAGGATGAGGAGGAGGAGGAGGAGGAGTAGGAGTACGAGGATGTGCACGAGGAAGCAGGAGGAGGAGGAGGAGGAGGAGGAGGAAGAAGAGGAGGAGGAGGGGGGGCGGAGGCGGAGGCGGAGGCGGAGGCGGAGGCGGAGGTGGAGGCGGAGGTGGAGGTGGAGGCGGAGGAGGAGGCGGAGGCGGCGGGGGAGGAGGAGAGGAGACAGGCGCTGTCGTGGCGGTGATGGTGGTGATTGTCGTCCGTCGTCGCCCCAGGTCTCCGAAGAATGTTTTCTTCGCCTCTGGCGTCTCTTCATCGGTTTCGGCCTCCCGGGCCCGTTCTCGGGCCCAGGAGGCCAGGAGTACTGGATCCAGGGTGCATCTCTACCCCTGGGGAACGTGTCTGGAGCTCTGATGCCGCGGATGGAAGAAATGATTCGAGAGGGTGTTTAGGGTGAGGGCAGGGGGAGGAGAGAAGAGAGAGTAGGAGGCAGGCTTGGTGCGCTTGCACCGTATCTGATATCCTGCCCCTCCCACCCGTCCCTTCCCACTGCGCTGATGTTTCTTGATCCGCAGACCGGAACCCTCGACCTGACCCTCTCGCAGTATGTGCAGTCAGAAAATGGGAGCTGTGCACACTGGCGGGGGAATTCGGAGGTGGCGGATGAGCAGGAGGATGAGCAGGAGGCAGAAGATGAGGATGAGGAAGGAGGAGAGCAAGAAGGAATAGCAGCAGCCGGAGCAGAAGTAGGAGGAGCGGGAGTACCAGGAGGACAGTTGAAGGCAGAGAAGAGGAAAGGATAGAGGAGGCAACGACGAGAAATGAGTCGGACCCAGAGTTGTGGCCCGCGCTGGGGCAAGAGCGCAATCGTGAACGACGAGGAGAAAGCGTGCTGTTTCTGTTTCCTGCTTCGCCGCAATAAGCCTCCCCCGCTCGCCGGGCTCGCTCTTGGAACACGACCCTGAAGCAGCGGGAAACATTCTGGTGGAAGATCAGATTGTGAACCTCATGTTGAAGTCCTGTGCCCAATGAGCAATATGCACAATCCTGTCCGAGCGGGCCCCGCTCGGACAGGATCCCGGGATCGAGGACCGCAATGCCCATACGAAGTATTGCCGAGGACGACAGAGGAGGAGAGAGGCGCTGTCGTGGTGGTGGTGGTGGTGGTTGTGCGCCGTCGTGGGGGGAGCTGCGCAGGTCGGTATAAAGATAGAATCTCGGAGCTCCGCCCGGATTTCGGTGCCCTTGGCGGCGCCTCTCGAGCCGACCCTGGCGCGCTCTGCGCGCCAGGGATGGGGGGTCCAGCGCCGATCCAAGAAGTCCACGCGGACATTCGAAAGCAGATGTTTGTGCAGTATTTTCTCCTCCCGGGGGGAGGGAGGGGAGGAACTCCAGGCCTCCCAAACGGCGTCCCAGAAGACGGGGTCGGAGGATCGCGCTGCATCGCCGATGCATCGGCGATGCGGCGCGATGTGGAGCCCGACGTCGTCCGCCTCGGGGATGCGGCGCGATCCTCCGACCAGGTCAACGCAGACCCTGGTTGGGAGGCCTCTATCGGAGCAGAGTCACCCAAGATGCATCAAGCAATCTGCCGTATTGTGTCAAGATGCTGAGAGGAGGCCCCCTTTGGCCTCGGGAAGAGGCTCTGGTCTCCGGGCCGTTCCTCAGGTGTTGGGCGGGGCGCCTCTTCGTGGCCACGACTCGCCGCGGCCATAGGAGGGCGCGGCGAAGGAGCCGCACGGCACATGCTGGAACCCACGTCGTCGCCCTGCCAACCTCCGGCCCCCTGGGGGGAGGAGAAGGAGGAGGAGGAGGAGGAGGAGGAGGAGGAGGAGGAGGAGGAGTGGGAGGAGGAGGAGGAGGAGGAAGAGGAGGAGGAGGAGGAGGAGGACAAGGAGGACGAGGAGGAGGAGGATGAGGAGGAGAAGGGAGGAAGGGGGATGGGTAGAAGGAGGAGGAGGAGGAGGAGGAGGAGGGGGAGGGGGAGGAGGAGAGGAGGAGGAGGAGGAGGAGGGGGAGGCCCCTTCGTTCCGTCGTTCGTCGAGGGCGTGTGTGTGTGTGTGTGTGTGTGTGTGTGTGTGTGTATGTGTGT